ACTGCAATCTCTGCCTCCCGGATTCAAGCGATTCTCCTGCCTCAGCCTCCCAAGTAGCTGGGATTACAGGTACATGTCACCACACCCGGCTAATTTTTGTATTTTTAGTAGAGACGGAGTTTTTCCATGTTAGCCATGCTGGTCTCAAACTCCTGATCTCAGGTAATTCGCCCACCTCAGCCTCTCAAAGTGCTGGGATTATGGGTGTGAGCCACCGTGCCTGGCATTTTTTTTTTTTTTTTTTTTTTTTTTTTGAGATGGAGTCTCTCTCTCTTGCCCAGATTAGAGTGCAATGGCACAATCTTGGCTTACTGCAACCTCTGTCTCCCAGGTTCAAGTGATGCTCCTGCCTCATCCTCCTGAGTAGCTGGGATTATAGGCACCCACCGCCCGCCTGGCTAATTTTTGTATTTTTAGTGTGTGTGTGGTGGGGGGTTCACCATGTTGGCCAGGCTGGTCTCAAACTCCTGATATCAAGTGATCCGCCTGCTCAGCCTCCTAAAGTGCTGAGATTATAGGCATGAGCCACCACGCCTGGCACCCCCATTCATTTTCTAAGTGAGCACTTGATGTATACTAGGCTCAGTTTTCAGAGGCGAGAGGCAGGTGCGTTCTGTATCTTCCTTCCCAGCATGCCGATTCCTGCCAGCATCTCATTTGCTATCCCATCTTTTCACTTCCTGGCCACAGCAGCCTCTTCAGTGTGTGGCTTCCCAGGGCTCAGCCAAGCACTTGCTAGACCAGAGGATTTTGAAGTTTTTTTGTCCTCCTTATTCTTTCTCAACCTCCTGTGTCCATTTCTCACTCCCTTTTTTCAGACATGAGAGGCTCACATAAATAATTTAGATGTGGATAATTCAGGCTGTAACTGGGGACATGGAGGCAGGGGTAGTAGGAGGGTTAGTGAGGGAGAGAGAGCTGGGTCCTGGGCTCTCTATGGATGATAAGAGCTGGCTCTTCAGTGAAAGGGGATAGAGTGGGATGGCTGAGTATCGCAGAGCACACACACATGCTTGCCACAATCTCTTGCCTCTGTATCAGTTTTATTTTTTATTTTATTCACTTTTTTTGTTTGTTTTCTGCTCCATCACCAGGCTAGAGTACAATGGCATGATCACAGCCCACTGCAGCCTCAACCTTCTGGGTTCAAGTGATCCTTCCCACTTTAGCCTCTGAAGTAGCAGGGTCTACAGGTGCATCCCAAGATGCCTGGCTAATTTTTGTAGTTTTTATAGAAATGGGGTTCTGTCATGTTGCCCAGGCTGGTCTCGAACTCCTGGGCTCAAGCGATCTGCTTGCCCAGCCTCCCAAGTAGCTGAGACTAAAGGTGTGCACCACTACTTCCAGCTAATTTTTTTTTTTTTTTTGAGATGGAGTCTCGCTCTTGTTACCCAGGCTGGAGTGCAATGGCACAATCTCGGCTCACCGCAACCTCCGCCTCCTGGGTTCAGGCAATTCTCCTGCCTCAGCCTCCTGAGTAGCTGGGATTACAGGCACGTGCCACCATGCCCAGCTAATTTTTTGTATTTTAGTAGAGACGGGGTTTCACCATGTTGACCAGGATGGTCTCGATCTCTTGACCTCGTGATCCACCCTCCTCGGCCTCCCAAAGTGCTGGGATTACAGGCTTGAACCACCGCGCCCGGCTAATTTTTTTTATTTTTGTTGAATCTGGGTCTTGCTATGTTGCCCAGGCTGGTCTTGAACTCCTGGCATCAAATGATCCTCCAGCCAAGGCCTCCCAAAGTACTGGGATTACAGTCAGGAGCCACTGTACCTGGCCCCAGGCTAGTTTTTAAAAATATTTCCACAGGCTTTAAGGGTTAAGGGAAAAAAGAAAACAAATAGTGTGCTTTCTTCCTCTTGTTCTAAGGTAGAAAACCATGGCAAGGTATCCATGGATACCTTGAGAGCAATGAACAGAACTGGAGCCCCTTTTTGACTTTACCCCTCAGGCCCTCTGGAGTACTCCGTGTCCTGCTCCTCTTGCATCTCCCTGGCTGTGTGTGCATGTAGAAAGTCATCTTGCATCTGTTCTCTTCCAGGTTTCTGTTTGGAGACAGGCCCTTTTGGTGGGTCCATGAGTCTGGGTACTACAGCCAGGCTCCAGTCCAGGTTCACCAGTTCCCCTCTTCTTGTGAGACTGGTCCAGGTGGGAAGCCTCAAACATCCTCCCCTTTCCCAATGTGGTTAGGATTCAGAGTACTTTTTAGCCTGGGTGGCCCAACCATAGGTCTAGCCTCCCAATTACTGGCCCAGAGAACAAAGGAGCCCCAGAGAGACCAAGCTGAGTTACGGGAGGAGGGCACTCATGCTATGTACCAGCTGCCCACCTTGGATAGTACAGCTAAGAGACACAGGTCAGGATAGAAGCCTGAGCGCAATGACCTCAGGTGGCAGTAAAAAGGCCTCAGAGCAGAGCAAGCTATGGATCAGTGCCGGGGAAAAGCTCTCTTCTCAGCCAAGAGAGGCAGCTGTATTATTGGGGCATCACCAGAGGCCCTGGGTTCTGCCTCCATCTTCTCACCACAAGCTTCTGGATTCGCTGGCAGGCAGCCCTTCTGGACACTGCATGATCACAGGAGCAGCCCTCTGGCCCATAATGACAGCCCTCTCTTCACAGTTGGCCACTCGGACCCGCAGGTATACCCTTGGTATTGCCCACCATTGGGAACAGGGCTGATGGCACCATGTACCTAAAAGACTTAGCAGCATGGCAGCCTGGGAGCTGGAGTTCTGGGGTCCCTGGGGCGTGTGGTCAAGCCATGGGGTACCTGGGTGCTACAGGAGGCCGAGCTGTGTATGGACACACTCTGAGCTCCTTGCCTCTCTTCTTTCTAGCCGCTGGGTGAGGGTGATGCCTAGCCTGGCTTATTGCACGTTCCTTTTGGCAGTTGGCCTATCGCGGGTCTTCATCTTAGCACATTTTCCTCACCAGGTGCTGGCTGGCTTAATAACTGGTGAGCAACTGGGGCAATGGGGTGGGCTGAGAGGATGCCTTTGGCAGTGGGAGGATCAGTCTAGGATCTTCCCAACTTCTGTAGAGCCCACCCCAGAGGCTTCCCTTATGTCTTAGTTTGTTCTCTTGCCAAGCTGCGCTGCAGCTGGGGGTGGGGGCGGGGAGGGTCATATCCCTAAACTCCTTGAAGCTGCTGTCACTCCACTCTCCTAGGCGCTGTCCTGGGCTGGCTGATGACTCCCCGGGTGCCTGTGGAGCGGGAGCTGAGCTTCTATGGGTTGACTGCACTGGCCCTCATGCTAGGGACTAGCCTCATCTATTGGACCCTCTTTACGCTGGGCCTGGATCTTTCTTGGTAAGTCTCACTTTGAAGCCTGGACGGGCTGGACCCTGTCCTATCTTGCCTGCACCTAGCCTGGTGGGTCTCTGGTTCATTATAGCTAAAAAAGGACACATTACCTATTCACATAGACCCTCATAGGCACAAAGCAGAACATAGGAGTGGGCCCCAGGGGCAGATGGCCAAGAGCCAGTGGCCTTCTACGTTCCAGTCTCTCCTGGCAAGGACTCTTCTTCCCCACAGGTCCATCAGCCTAGCCTTCAAGTGGTGTGAGCGGCCTGAGTGGATACACATGGATAGCCGGCCTTTTGCCTCTCTGAGCCGTGACTCAGGGGCTGCCCTGGGCCTGGGCATTGCCCTGCACTCTCCCTGCTATGCACAGGTGCGTCGGGCACCGCTAGGAAATGGCCAGAAGATAGCCTGCCTTGTGCTGGCCATGGGGCTGCTGGGCCCCCTGGACTGGCTGGGCCACCCCCCTCAGATCAGCCTCTTCTACATCTTCAATTTCCTCAAGTACACCCTCTGGCCATGCCTAGTCCTGGCCCTCGTGCCCTGGGTAGTGCACATGTTCAGTGCCCAGGAAGCAGCACCCATCCACTCTTCCTGACTTCTTGTGTGTCTCCTTTCCTTTTTCTCCCACAAAACCAACACTCTGTGACCACCACACTCCAGGAGGCAGCCCCATGCCCTTCCAGCCCCCAAGCAGGCCCTCCTCTAAATCTGCTTTCCTATCACCTGGTCTTAGCCCCAAAGATGGTCCTTCTCTCTCCCAGAGAAGCTGGTCCTCCCTCTTCCTTTCCTTTCAAGCCCCCAAAGAGCAAAGGCAACAGCAAGACCAGCGGGTTCCTGCAACACTGTGAGGGGCAGCTGGGGCGGCCCCAATAAAGCCCTCAAATACTTTGAGTTTCCTTTCTTGCCTGTGCGCACTTCTCCATAGGCTTTGCCTCTGTGTGCATAAGTGGAACCCTTGCCAGGCTGCTCCAGTGGTCTCTGTGCCACCTCCAGCCTTGTTTCCAGGGGCAGAGAGGCAGGAAAGGAGAGGGCTGTAAACTCAGGTGAGACCTCTTGGCCCCCAGATACCCTGCCTCATCACTGCCTAGGCCACATGAGAGGTCCCATGAGATGCTCTGACTATAACCAGTGTAACCCTGACTTTCACCTACAGGACAGATCTTGCGCGCCAGCCTCTAGTTTCCTAAATTGGCTTCTAGCCCAGGGGCTGGAGCAAAGAGTAGTGTTTTTGGCTAGGAAGGAGGATGAACTACTCCATTTGGGAGCCCAGAGAATAGAGACATTGGCCCCAGAAGGCACTGCCAGAAACAAGTTTATTTACACAAGGACACAGTGTAACGGGTTACAAAATCCTTAACTGAAATCCATATCCAGGGAGACAAAGCAAGGAGTGGGTTTACATGAGAACCAGACCAGCCACAGGGAGAGGGTGGGCAAGGGGCCTGGAGCCTGGGGCTCAGTAGAGAGGCCTGGTACACTGGGCCTAGCCCCATCCCCATCCCCCAGGAGGATCTAAAACATACAACACATAGCGAACAACGAACCAATAAATCGATGGTGCTGGGGCTCCTGCTCCTCCCCTGGCTCCTTCAACCCTGCTCAGGCCCCCAATAGGATAATAAATATGTAAACAGATTGGTGGGGCCCTGGGGATGGGAGGAGAGAAAGTATATGTGCTACTGGGGAGGAAGAGGGAGGAAGAGTCAGCCCCCTAGGAGCCACTTCCCATCTTTGGTTTCCTACAGGCTGGACAACATTCCCTGGAAGCCTTGTGGGCCCACAGCCCCTGGCAGGGCTCCTGGGAAAGAGAAGGGGCAGCACCCAGCCCCCTCCTGGTCTTAGCTCCCTTGGGCTTGGGGCCAGCAAAGGGAGCCCAAGAGGTATGGAAGGTCCAGCGGAGGACGAACTCCTGGATCCCTGGGTTCTGACCTTACCCCTTCTAGAATCCCCACTCTCACCATCCCTAGGCTCCAAAGCAAAAGGCCCCAGGAGGGAGTGAGCCCCTGCCCCTTCTCCCTGCAGCATGCTGGATGGCTAGGGAGAGCTAGTCCTGACAGCAGGGGGGCTCTCACCAGCCTGAAGCCCCCCTGCAGGGACCATCTTCTCCCCCTGCCCAGGCTGTGCCAGCAGAGGGACAGGGAGGCCATCCAAGTAAGGTGGGGAGGAGGCCTGGTTCTGCAGCTCCTCCTGGCCCCTGAGAACCCAGGAAACCAGTCCTCTCCTTCCCCACACTTTTTCATCTTCTCGGCCCGGGGAAGGGGAAGCAGGCCCAGAAGAGTATGAGGCAAGACAGCCCTGCTCACAGACCACAGCCATGGCTTGGGCACCAGCCTCCCATCAGTGCTGAGACCAAGGAGGAGGAAGAAAGGGGTCTGTGCAGAGATGGACAGGATGAAAGAAGGGGAAAAGGTGGAGAATCACAGGGTAGGTGCCCACCTCCCTTCCACTCTGCATCTTAGTAGTGGACCCTCCAGATCCCCCCCTGAGGCTGGAGAAGGGAGGAGGGTGAAATTAAGGCATTTCCCCCCAAGTCAGCTGAAACCAAGGCACCGACTTCCTGTTCCCTCCTCACTCAGGGGGGCTCCAGAACTGGAGGGTACTGTCTGGGTCCCGTGTCCACCTTGAGCTGGCCCAGGCTCCAAGGGGGAAAAGGACAGAATGCAGGGAAATGGGTGGAGGGACACCTGGGTCAGGGCTGGGAAGACACCCCCCACCCCCTGTGAAGGGAGCAGGCTTCTAGAGCTGAGGTGGAGGCCACACGGCTGGGGGCCTGAGGCAGCGTGGAGGAGCAGGAGGGGCAAGGCTGAGAGACCCACACGGCACACCTTGTTGAATGTGTGACTTTTTGTTTTTAATAGAAAAAATAAACAAAATCACAATGGTGAAGCCCAGTGGGACGGGGGCCAGGGTGTCACAGGGCAGGCTCCTGCTCCATGGGCTCCTCTGCCGGCCTGTTGGGGACAAACACAGGGGAGGGTGTTGAGTTGGGCACACCAGCAGGGGCAAGGGCAAAGAGGCGGCAGGGGTGCTGCTTACCTGGGGCTGTGCTCCCGGGCTGCCGCAGCCTGGACCTGCTCAGCCCCCACCGACAGCAAGGCCATGGCGCTCACAGTCTCAGCCTCCTCGGTCTCACCTGCCTGGGCTTCCCGCAGGGAACGGCCCAGACCAGTGGCGAACTTCTGCACACAGCTCCAGTGTTTGCCTGTGGATGACAGATGGGCAAGGGGTGAGGGAGGGCAGACGACACCCACATGAACTTCTCCAGTCCTGGTGTTCCCACAAGCTCCGCTCCCCTTGGCCGCCCGAGCCCCTCCATGAATCCCCACGCACTCTGGATCTCGATGACTTTCTCTAGTGTGGCCACTGCATTGATGTTGGGCTTTTGCTGCAAGACTGCCTCGTCCAAGGGCTGCAGCTGGCAGGAGAAAGAAGAGAAGGCTTAGGGTGGGGAGTAGGGTTGCAATACGTACCCCTCTAACTGCCCCACTCGGCCCCAGATATCCCTCATGACAGGGGCAAACATGGTCTTTTTGGACAAACCCATACTCAGAAAGCCTTCCCTGGCCATTAGCTATTCCTTAGGACCAAGGAAAAGCTTCCTAAGGGCCTCCCAGTGCTGGCTGGCCCCTCAGCCCCCTGGCCTGCCACCTCCCAGCCCCCACCCCTCACCTCTACACTGAGCAGAGCTGAGACACAAGCCTCAGAGGCATCACAGATGGCGGTCAAGTCGTGGCCTCCCTCCAGGGCCAGCACCACCCGGCCCTCTGCCAGGGTCATCAGCTGCCTGGTCAAGTGGCCAAAACCTTTGGGGATGGGTGAAGGGAGGAGGATGAAATGGTAAAAGGTATTCAATTAAAGAGTAAGAAAAGGAGAGAAAAAGAAACAGGAGAGGCGTGGTGGCTCATGCCTGTAATCCCAGCACTTTGGGAGGCCAAGGTGGGTGAATCACTTGAGGTCAGGAGTTCGAGAGCAGCCTGGCCAATATGGTGAAATCCCGTTTCTACTAAAAAAAATTTAAAAATTAGCCAGCTGTGGTGGCACACACCTGTAAGTCTCAGCTATTCCAGAGGCTGAGGCAGAAGAATCGCTTGAACCCGGGAGGTGGAGCTTGCAGTGAGTCAAGATCGTGCCACTGCACTCCAACCTGGGCGACAGAGCGAGACTCCATCTCAAACAAAAAGAAAAAGACAAGAGGTGGGACAAATAGCACACAATATGATGGCAGATACAAACTCTAATAGACCCATAATAAAATACAGTGGTGGCCGGGCGCGGTGGCTCACACCTGTAATCCCAGCACTTTGGGAGGCCGAGGCAGATGGATCACAGGAGATTGAGACCATCCTGACCAACGTTTTTTGTCTTTACTAAAATACAAAAAATTAGCCAGGCGTGGTGGCGTGTGCCTGTGGGTCCCAGCTACTCAGGAGGCTGAGGCAGGGGAATTGCTTGAACCCAGGAGGCAGAGGTTGCAGTGAGCCGAGATCACGCCACTGCACTCCAGCCTGGGCAACAGCGAGACTCCATCTCAAAAAAAAATAATACTAATAAAATAAAATACAATGTCAATGGGCTAAATGCCCTATCACAGTCAAAACATTAACAGACTGGCTAAAGACTCCAATGACCAGGTGCTTTCAAGGAGCATCACTGCAACACCAGGGACCACAAGCTCCATTGCTACAGCTCCTGCAATACGAATGCTCTACCCTCTGCTACCCCACTTCCACCTGCCGGCCCCTCAAGGCCAAGGTTGGCAGAGGATGAGTTGGGGGAGTCATCAAGGTGATTCCAAGTCTAGGCCCTGTCCCTGCTTTCCCCATCCGCTGCGGTATCAGTCTGTTCTTGCCCCACACACCATTGGACTATATCCTCACTATTCTACTTCCTCCCTCTATCCCCCAGCACGCTTACATCTGGCGGTGACAGAGTAGCCACCCAGTGGAGACAGATGTCCTTCAACAGCATCAAACCCGGCAGAGACTAGGACCACGTCAGGTGAGAACTCATGGGCAATGGGCATCACTACTGTCCTGCAAAGGGATAGCCCAAGCTGAGCCTGGCAGATGGCCAGGCCAGGCCTCGTCCCACTTATCATACCAGAGACAACCCCCTTACCCACACTGAACTGAGTGCCTTCTGTCCCCTCCCACTGCAGGGCCCAGGGGGGCTCCCTGTGACTCCCGTGGCCCTTTTCAGTCCCTACCTGAAGGCTGTAAGGTACTCCACATCTCCAATGGGGGGGTCCACACCTCCTGTCCATGCCACATTCACATTGTACCCCACGCCTGGCCCTCCACCAACCTGGAACCAGAGTTGAGGAGAGGGCTATTCTCACTGCCTGGGGATCCCAAACATTGCCCCTGCCCTCGCCCCTGCCCTCACCCCTGCCTCCAGGTCTCACTCCACTGACCTCTGCTCTGCCTGGAGGAGCAGTCAGATCAGTGTGGTCCTCCCTCTTGGAGCCCAGACTCCCCAGGTACCAGCACCACTGGCCTCTGTGGCTCCCCACCAGGTCCCACTGTGCCACCTCCCAGAGGGGCCAACAGAGTCTGCATTTACGCCCAGGAGCTATACCTCTTCAGGAGCCCCAGAGCCTGGAAAGAAGTTCCCGTTGTCATAGCGATGCAGAGAGATGTAGAGCACAGAGGGGTCGTTGTAGAATGCCTGCTGGGTGCCATTGCCATGGTGAATGTCCTAGGAGGGGAGGTGGAAGCATCAGGAAAATGGCCCACGGTCTGACGCAATGGTCACAATTCCACCTGTCAGCTGGGCACTGTCATTCATGCCTGTGCTTCCAGCATTTTGGGAGGCTGAGGGCTGGGGGGATTGTTGAGCCTAGGAGTTCAAGACTCACCTGGACAACACAGCAAAACCCCAACCCCCAAACCAAAAAAACTCTACTGGCCCCACCCCACTGCATGGTGGGCTTTGAGGGTATACCCACCCTAGCCACAGGGCATCTGCATTCTGTTCACAATGGCATTGCCCACCCCAGGCTTCTCTAACTAGGGTCTGAGCCTCTGTGGTGTGGCACTGTGTAGGGGATACTCAAAGCCATGGGACAAATGTGGCAGATCTCCCTACAGAACCCATTCCGCTTCACCGTTTGGGGGAAAACATTAAGGCTAGTAGGGAATTTAAAACAAGCAGATCACATTCTTTTTCTTTTTGTTTGAGACGGAGTTTCACTCTTGTTGCCAGGCTGGAGTGCAGTGGCACGACCTGGCTCACTGCAATCTCCACCTCCCGCGTTCAAGCAATTCTCCTGCCTCAGCCTCCCGAGTAGCTGGGATTACAGGCATGCGCCATCACACCTGGCTAATTTTTTTTTGTATTTTTAGTGGAGATGGGGTTTCACCATGTTGGCCAGGCTGGTCTCCATCTCCTGACCTAAGGTGATCCACCTGCCTTGGCCTCCCAAAGTGCTGGGATTACAGGCATGAGCCACTGTGCCGGGCCTTTTTTTTTTCTTTTTTTTGAGATAGAGTCTCACTCTGTCATCGAGACTGGAGTGCAGTAGCATCATCTCAGCTCACTGCAACCTCTGCCTCCCGGGTTCAAGTGATTCTCCTGCCTCAGCCTGCTGAGTAGCTAGGATTACAGGCTCCCGACACCACATCTGGCTAATTTTTTGTATTTCCAGTGGAGATGGGGTTTCACCATGTTGACCAGGCTGGTCTCAAACTCCTGACCTCAAGTGATTCACCCACCTTGGCCTCCCAAAGTGCTGGGATTACAGGCTTTGAGCCACTGTGCCCAGCCACAAACACATAAGATTCTGAAGAAGGATACAACATTTACATAAATTTTTAAGCCAGAATTGGGCTTCCAAGAGATTTCATCCTTTCCGAGGCTCGCTCCTGGCTACTTCCCCAGCTCACAGAGTGGCGTGTGCCTCGCCTCCACCATTTAGAGCAGGGTCCGAGAAGCACCCACGGTAGCACGAGCAGAGTGCTGGGGCTAAAAGGCCTGGTCTGAAACCCAGTGCCAATATCCCCAGCAGAGTGGCCTTGGGTGAGTCACACACAACTGACACCTTCATTTGCAGAAATGGACATCCCTGTTCTTACTACTCGAGGTGGCCATAAAGTACTCATTGGGTTCCTGGTATACAGTCCGTGCCCGCCCCCGCCCCCCCATCATAGGGGGTGGGAGAAAAAATTGGCTACTAGCAATGGCAGCAGCATCACTACTGTCCAAGGTAGGAAATCCCGGGACTTCCTTGCTTGAAGCTGCAATGTGAGGGCCAAGATGGAACAGGAGCTAAATGTCTTTCATAGAGAGGAGGGAGCCCTGCTGGAATGTGAGGTTAGTCATCCAGCAGGAGCCCCAGCACCCTTCCTTCTGCACTGGGCACCTGAGGACGAGGATGACGGGGCTGCTTGGAAGTGGGACTGGGGGAGGGGACTTCCTACTGGGGGAGGGGACTTCCTGAAGGCCGACCCTGGTCCCAGCACTGCCCACCCCTGCCCAGCCCCACCAGCTCACTGCCTACCCAGTCCACGATGAGGACCTTGCCCACGTTCAACTTCTGTTGTAGGAGTTTCGCTGTGATGGCTACGGAGTTGAAAAAGCAGAATCCCCTGAGGTAGGCGGGGGAGAAAAGGGCAGGAGGTCAGCTTCAGCATGATGTTTGCAAGAGACAGGAAGGGGCGAGGGCAGAGAATCTAGGGCACTCACATGGCTGTGGACTCCTCGGCGTGGTGTCCTGGGGGCCGGATGATGGCAAATCCATTCTGAAGAGGTGCGGGCAGAGGTCAGGGACAAGATCCAGGCAGGAAGGCCGTGGAGGGGGTGGCACAGGACAGAAGCACAAGCCAGGCAGGGAAATGAATACAAATCAGAAAAGCAGATCTATATGTTCAACGCACAGTTTTTTTTTTTGTTTTTTTTTTTTGTTTTTAATTGTTGTTGTTTATTTTGGAGACGGGGTCTTGCTCTATCACCCAGGCTGGAATGCAGTGGCGCAATCATGGCTCACTACAACCTTGGCCTCCCAGGCTCAGGCAATCCCCCCAACTGAGTCTCCCGAGTAGCTTGGACTACAAGCACACGCCACCATGCCTGGTTAATTTTTTGTAGAGACAGTGTTTTACCATGTTGCCCAGGCTGGTCTCCAACTCCTGGGCTCAAGCTATCCGCCCGTGTCCGCCTCCCAAAGTGTTGAGATTACAGGCGTGAACCACTGTGCCCAGCCTCAACGGACCATTTTGAATGCCAACCATGAGGCTTGAGCAGGGAGATAGTACTTCTGCCTCAAGACACCCACAAACGCACTAGGCATTACGTAGTGTCTTTTTTTTTTTTTTTTTTTAAATAAAATAGAGATGGGGTGTCACCATGTTGGCCAGACTGGTCTCGAACTCCTGACCTCAGGTGATCCACCCATCTCAGCCTCCCAAAGTGCTGAGATTACAGGCGTGAGCCACCACGCCTGGCCGGCATTAGTGTATATTTTTGGTCCCTCATACATCTTAATCCCAGCTGACACCTCCTTCCCACCCTGGTATCCAAGAGTGGGGCTTGCAAAGGACAGTGCCTCACTGAAAGGAACCCAAGGCTGCCCCTGTCCTCTGCCTCTAGGAGCAGGACCATGCCAAGGGGCACCGAGGTCACAAGCACATGCTCACCTTGAGCTCTCCCGCAGCCACCTTGAAGGCCAGCTCCAGCAGGCAGCCCACCGCCATGCGCACAGCACTGGAGGAGTGCATCTCGTTCCACACAGTGTCGCTGTCCACCTGCAGGGCAGGAGAGCAGGCTTCAGCATGCCCCCTGCAGGGGGAGGGCAAGAACAGGGAAGGCCCCTGGACAGTGGGCCAGCGGCCGTGGGAGGCAGGAAAGAGACAGCGCTGGGAGAGCCTCCCACCCATCCCCACTGCTGCACATCCTACTCACCCCGATGCCTCCACAAGGCAGCACGGCATACATCTTCTGGCTGATGGGGCCTGCAGGGAAGAGGGACAGAGCTACTCTACAAGTGGCCTCGGGTGGATCATTTGAGGTCAGGAGCTCAAGACCATTCTGGCCGGCCGGGCGTAGTGGCTCATGCCTGTAATCCAAGCACTTTAGAGGCCAAGGCGGGCGGATCACCTGAGGTTGGGAGTTCAAGACCAGCCTGACCAACATGGCGAAACCCCACCTCTACTAAAAATACAAAAATTAGCCAGGCATGGTGGCACACGCCTATAAACCCAACTACTCGGGAGGCGGAGGCAAGAGAATCACCTGAGCCCGGGAAACGGAGGTTGCAGTGAGCTGAGATCAAGCCACTGCACTCCAGCCTGGGGAACAGAGAGAGACTATCTAAAAAAAAAAAAAGAAGAAGAAGAAGAAGAAGTGGCCTCAACTGCCAGGGCTACAGGCTTAGCCACTAAAAATGAGGGGTCAGACCCAAGTATAAGGCCTCTGCAGCCCACACCAGTTGGGAGCTGTCAGTCCTGTTCTTGGGGGCGTCCTACCTCTAGGGTTGGAAGGTAGGCAGAGAGGAGCATGATAAGCCTGGAGGGGAGCAAAGCAGTCCCCCCAGCCGAGCACCCCCAGATGGGGATCCTGCACCGCACCCGACAGACGCTCCATGTTAATGGCGCCCTCTGGAAGTGTACGATGTGATAACTGTGCCACCTCTGCAGCAGTGATGCCCTGTGCCCAAGGGGACAACCCTCCTAGCCTGGCTCGGCAGTCCTCCTGACAGTCCCCATCTCACCCTGGCACTGGACATGCCCTGCCCGCCCGCCCACATGCCAGCTCACCGAGCAACTTCTTGCTGTCCAACTTCTGCCGGTTGAGGGGGCTGGTGCCGTAGAGCAGGGTGTGGTATTCAGAGTGCACTGCCTGGATCTCGTCTAACGTAGCTTTGCGACCCCGGATCCGCTGTCAGGAGGATCAGTCAGAGGGGTCACAGAAAGGCGCAGCTCTCCCAGCCCCTCTCTGCCCGATAGCCAGGGGCACACACAGCCGCTTGCTGGCCTCAGGAGCTCCAAATATTTTTGAGAAAGTAGACCCTGGCTCTGTCGTGACCCTACTCCACGATCCTCCCACAGTCAGCTGGGGACCATGCGGGACTATAGGCTGCAAGGGATGGAATGGAGGGGGTGGGGGCAGAGAACTGGCCCCGAAGTGTGGGGGTGAAGAGAGGATGAGGAAGAGGCATGAAGGAGGCTTCTCTAACAGGGAAACAAAGGCTAGATTTCAGTTGAGGGCCAGGGGAAGGAGGGGCTCCCTTACCTCGCACTTGCTAAGCAGGCCTGTCTCCTGCAGCCGGGACCAGATGCTCTGGATCCGGCCAGCATGTTCAGGGTGCACATGTGTGTTTCCGCACATGCACTGGTGCTTTAGCATGAACGTGTCGTAGACCACACCTGGGCCACAGACCCACTGTCAGCCAGCACTGCTCTGGGCCCAGGGTCCCAGCCTGGCTACCTCGATCCTCAGCATGGCTCATGGAGCTCTTTCCAACCCCCAGGTCCAAACTCCTCCCCACGGCCACCAAAGCCACCCTCCCACACACCTGCCCCCTCTCCTCTCGTTTGTTTTTCTCTCTGAAACAGGGTCTCGCTCTGTCAGCCAGGCTGGAGTGCAGTAGCGCTACTGGCTCACTGCAGCCTCAACCACAGCCCCCACCAACCTGTCCTCAAGCGATCCTCCCACCTCAGTGTTCTGAGTAGCTGGCACTACAGGCATGCGCTACCACATCTAGCTTTTTTTTTTTTTAAAGAGACGGGGTCTCACTATGTTGCTCACACTGGTCTCAAACTCCCGGGCTCAAGTGATCCTCTCTCCTTGGCCTCCCAAAATGCTTGGATTACAGGTATGAGACACTGTACCTGGCCTTTCCTCTCTAGCCTTTGCCCCCTCTCAACTCCTGAATTTCCTTTGCTCCATTATTGCCTGTCAGAAGCTTCCGTGCTCCTCAATCCCAGCAAGGCTGCCCAGGACACCCCACAGGTCCGATCTCTGCCGGCTGCACCCCTCAGCTACACCCTTCTCACAGCACCTCCTGCCTCCCCCTCCTGCCAAACCCGTGTCTTACTCCCCACTGGTGACATGGGACCGCCCTCAGGGATGTCTGTGTCCTCCCAGAGGCCAGCCTGTGGCAGCTTCATGGGGGAGGCAGGACCCAATAGGGGCAGCAGGCTCTCTCTACCCAGCACTTCAGGCTATGGGGCAGTCCTTCCTTCCGTGGGGTGAGAAAGATGCTGCCCAGTGGGCAGAGGTGGAGCTACCCACTCTCCCAGCTGAGGCAGAAGGCCCTGCCACTACCACGAACAGCTCTGGGGTACAGGGAGAGAATGAAGGCCTGTGTCACCGCCTTTCAGGGTGCCTCAGGGGCTCCAGCAGCCTCTTCCCCCTGCCTACAGGCCAGACACCACACACAGGCCCCCTGCCTGGCCGAAGGACATAACTGGTGGTGGGGACTCACCTGTGGTGAAGAGGTGTTTCACGGGCTGGTCTGGAGGGCTCTTCATGCCCCCAGGGGCAGCAGGGGAGGACTGGGTGCGGCCCAGGGCCTGGTGAGGCACAGTGGCCAGGCTGAGGGGCGCCTGGTACACCTGCAGTGGCTGCAGCTGCTGGGCATCTGAAAATAGCTGGAGGGGATGACAGTGGGAGGGGGCCCAGGTCAGACTCAGCCCGGACAGGGGTAAGGGCAGGGCCTCCAGGGGAGTCCCAATCCAGCACTTTTCTTCTAAGTCTCCTCCTTCCCCCACCTCCTCCCACTTGCTCCCTCCTGGGACAGGAGACACATCTCCTCTGAGACAGAGAGGGATGGGGGGAATGTGATGAGTCACATCAAAGAGTAGCATTGAGGTAAGAGGCTGGGGGGGGGGTGGGGGCGGGGGGTGGGGCGGGGGTGGGATGAGTCAGGCCCAGAGGGCTCCGCTGTGTCCGCAATGAATGGAGTGCCAGCTAGGCGCGAGGCAGACTGTAGTAACAGCGGGGGCGTGTGTGTACACACGCGCACAGGCACGCACAGGGACCGACGCACAGCCGGCCCTACGCAGGCAGAAACGCAGATACACACAGGCCATGTGTGCACATGCACACACCCACATACGCGCGCGCACACACACACACACAGACACAAGCAGAGAGGCAGGCCAGTATCATAGATGCAGGGAGGGAACTGGCAGCCTAGGACAGACACAGCTCTGAGATCAACACAAACAGCTCCCCTTTCTCCCCGCTGGCCTCCTTCCCACTCCCCTTTTGCTCACTACAGAACGCTGCTCCTTCAAGGCCTGGAAACTGCAGATGGGGGAAAGGGAAAGACAAGGGCAGAGGCGGCAGCAGGGAAGGATAGAGCGGTGGTGACTAAGGGCTGGGACCACGGAATGGGGACGGGGCTCACCTTTTTGTAACCAGCACTGGGCTCCTCCGAGTTGGGCCCCTCCTCAGCACCACTCTCGCCCTCCTCGTCCTTGACCTGGATGCAATCCTCCTCCTCCCCATCCTCTTCCTCCTCCTCCTCCTCCTCCAGGTCTTCCTGTGTGCTCTCACTCTCTGTGGAGCCCTCCCGGGGCATGGTCAGGGTTCCCTCCCCCAGCAAGGCCTCCTGCTGCTCCGTCAGCTCCTCCTCTGTTTCCTCAGGGTGGGTGGTGGGCTGCCTGGGCAGCTCCCCTGTTTTGGTGAGAATCTGGTAACAGAAACAGAGGCACATCAGCTGGAGGCAGCCTGTAACCCAGATGGGTCTATCCTTCCCTCCCTCCCTTCTTCCAGGCAGAGCTTCTATGTGAGTTAGAAAAAGGCCAGGTGGCTCCTCTGAGAGCAGGGCTCTATTTTTTTCTTCTTGAGACAGAGTCTCCCTCAGTTGCCCAGACTGGAATGCAGTGGCTCGATCTCAGCTCACTGCAACCTCTGCCTCCCAGGTTCAAGAGATTCTCCTGCCTCAGCCTCCCCAGTGGCTGCGATTATAGGTGCATGCCACCATGTCCAGCTAATTTTTGCTTTTTTTTTTTTGAGATGGAGTCTTGCTCTTGTTGCCCAGGCTGGAGTGCAATGGTGTGATCTCGGCCCACTGCAACCTCCACCTCCTGGGTTCAAGCGATGCTCCTGCCGTAGCCTCCCAAGTAGCTGGGATTACAGGCACCTGCCACCAAGCCCAATTAATTTTTGTGTTTTTCGCAGAGAACGAAGTTTCACCATGTTGGCCAGGCTGGTCTCAAACTCCTGACCTCAGGGGATCCGCCCACCTGAGCCTCCCAAACTTCTGGGATTACAGGTGTGAGCAACTGCACCTGGCCTGAGAGGAGGACTTTTCTGCCAGCCTGGTGCTCACCTGCATCCTGCCCCCAGCACAGCCCCAGGCCGTTCACCTCTCTAGGCTCACCTTGCCCAGCTGCAGCTGCTGCTGCTTCTGCTTCTCCAGGAACTGCTGGTGCTGTTGTTGCATGACCAGCTGCTGCAGGGCCTGGGGACTCTGCGGCAGCGGTGAGGACTGAGTGCGGCTCAGGGGCCGATGCCGTGGGAGCTTGCCCACTGTCCGCATGCTGGTGGCCACACGTTCACCCGTCACTAGTGGGGACTGCCCGTGGAGCGGCACTATGGAGTTAGGGGTGACGACTAAGCACCATTGTCAGGGCACCTGACTGTCCCCCAAGCCCAGACCTTGCCCCATATCCCCTCTGGAATATCACCACCTAAATAGTCCCCCCAGTCCCTGGGGGACCTAGAGCACCCTCCACCCAAACCTGAGCCCCATTCTTCCTTTTCCCCACAACTGAAGAGTTTCACACCTCTAAAGTACCACCTCCAGGAAGCTTTCCTGGATTCACCATCTTTTCCTTTTGATTTGCTTAACTGAATAAACTGAGTACACATGTAGTCCGGAGCCCTGTTTGAGTGAACAATGACTTGTTCTCCCCAAGTGTAACAAGGCCTCCTTGATCGTGGACCCTCGTGGATCCCGCCAGGCCAGGAAGCCCTGGGGGCCAGGATCATGTATCTTTCAAGCAGAACCTCTTCTGATGCCGACAGGTACTTAAGGGCTGTCTAAAGCTGTGCTGTCCCGTCCCATGGCTACTAGTTACACGTGACTACCGAGCCCTTCAACACAGCCTATCTAAAGTGAAATGTGACATAAGTGTGAAGTATACACTATATTTCAAAGACTTAGTATGAAACAAAAAGCAAAATATCTCACTGGTAACTGCATGTTGGCCAAGCACAGTGCAGCTCACACCGATAATCCCAGCACTTTGAGAGGCCAAGGCAGGAGAATGGCTTGAGCCCAGGAGTTCAAGACCAACCTGGGCAGCCAGGCACAATGGCTCAAGCCTGTAATTCCAGCACTCTGGGAGGCCGAGTCGGATAAACTACCTGAGGTCAGGATTTCGAGACCAGCCTGACCAATATGGTGAAACCCCGTCTCTAATAAAAATACAAAAAATTAGCTGGGCGTGGTGATGCATGCCTGTAATCCCAGCTACCTGGGAGGCTGTGGCAGGAGAATCACTTGAACCTGAGAGGCAGAGGTGGCAGTCAGCTGAGATCATGCCACTGCATTCCAGCCTGGGCAAAAAGAGTGAAACTTTGTCTCAAAAAAAAAAAATTAGCGACGTGTGGTGGCTGATGTCTGTAGTCCCCACTACTCAGGAGGCTGAAGCAAAAGAACTGCTTGAACTCAGGAGGCGGGGGTTGCAGTGAGCTGAGATCCTGCCATTGCACTCCAGCCTGGTGACAGAATGAGACTCTGTCTCAAAAAAAAAACAAAACAAAGACCAGCCTGGGCAACATAGCAAGATCATGTCTCTACAAAAAAAAAAAAAAAAAATCTTAATTAAAAAATAAAAAGCTGCTGGGTGCGGTGGCCCACGCCTATAATCCTAGCACTTTGGGAGACTAAGGTGGGTGGATCACAAGGTCAGGAGTTCAAGACCAGCCTGAGCAACATAGTGAAACTCTGTTTCTACCAAAAATACAAAAATTAGCCAGGCGTGGTGGCACACACCTGGAATTTCAGCTACTCGGGAGGCTGAGGCAGGAGAATCACTTGAACCCAGGAAGCGGAGGCTGCAGTGAACTGAGATAGCATCACTGCACTCCAGCCTGGGCAACAGAGCAAGACTCTGACTCAAAAATAAAAATAAAAAAATAAAAACCTCATGACTGGGCATGGTGGCTCACACCTGTAATCCCAGCACTTTGGGAGGCCAAGGTAGGCAGATCACCCAAGGTCAGGGGTTTGAGACCAGCCTGGCCAACATGGTGAAACCTGGTCTCTACTAACAATACAAAAAATTAGCTGGTGTGGTGGCAGGCGCCTGTAATCCCAGCTACTCAGGAGGCTGAGGCAGGAGAATTACTTGAACCCAGAAGGCGGAGGTGGCAGTGAGCCAAGATTGTACTACTGTACTCCAGCCTGGGCGACTGAGTGAAAATCAGGAAAATAAATAAATAAAAAGATATGCACATATATTACAGAAATGATAATATTCTGGATATACTGAGTTAAATATATGTGGTAAAATTAATTCCACTTGCTTCTTTTTTTTTTTGAGATGGAGTCTTGCTCTATCGCCCAGGATGGAGTGTAATGGCACGATCTTGGCTCACTGCAACCCCCACCTCCTGGGTTCAAGCGATTCTCCTGCCTCAGCCTCCTGAGTAGCTGGGATTACAGGAGCCCACCACGGCACCCAGCTAATTTTTGTAATTTTAGTAGAGATGGGGTTTTACTATGTTGGCCAGGCTGGTCTCAAGCTCCTGATCTCAAGTGATCTACCTGTCTTAGCCTCCTAAAGTGCTGGGATCACAGATGTGAGCCATCATGTCCAGCTCCACTTGCTTCTTTTCACATTTTTCTTCTTTTTTTTGAGACAGAGTTTCACTCTTGTTACCCAGGCTGGAGTGCAATGGCGCGATCTCGGCTCACCACAACCTCCGCCTCCTGGGTTCAGGCAATTCTCCTGTCTCAACCTCCTGAGTAGCTGGGATTACAGGCATGCGCCACCATGCCCAGCTAATTTTTTGTATTTTTAGTAGAGATGGGGTTTCACCATGTTGACCAGGATGGTCTCGATCTCTTGACCTCGTGATCCACCCGCCTCGGCCTCCCAAAGTGCTGGGATTACAGGCTTGAGCCACCGCGCCCGGCTCTTTTCACATTTTTCAATGTGGCTGCTAGAAATTACATATGCAGGTTTTGTTATGTTTCTACTGTACGGCACTGCTCTAGGATGTGAACTTCAAGATGGCAGCAGACTTTGTCAAGAACAGTGCCTGGCATCCCATCCAGGTAACCCACATTTCTAGATTGTGGAAGAAATCCCTGCTGCTGTTGATGCTGCTGAGGGGAGCTGCAACAGCAGGGCTGCAGAGTATCCCTGGCTGTTGGTCCTGACCTGAGCCCTTCCCTTGCACAGCTGCCTGCCCACTCACCAGCAATGAGGGTGCTCTGCTGCCGGGCCTGCTCCAGCAGTAGCACGTGCTGCAGCAGGGAGGCATGTCCATGGGGGCTCCCGTCGCCCTCCAGTGCCACACCCAGCAGGCAGCCAGGGATAGAGGATGTGCTCATGAACTTGCCGGTCAGCATGCCACCCTGCCGCAGGGACTGGAGGGCCTGCCTCTCGGCCTCCTGCTGCGTCGACAGCTTCGGGGAGGCCTGGGGGGTGGAGGGAGGGGCTTATACAGCCTCAGTCCTGCCAACTTTGGACCAGCAACCCCATCTACCCGATATCTACCCACCAGCTCTGGGTAGGGCCAAGTGATCTCCCTTACGGCTTTGGAAGAGCAAAAGCCCCAGATGGAGGCATCCAGGACCCCTGACCTCAACACCAGAGTGAGGACGGGGTATGTGCCCCATACTTACGGTGAGGTGCGAGTTGGTGACAGTGACCGTGGCCTGCAGCCCTAGGGAGATGTTAGGCAGAGAGGGAGATGTGTAGAGGCTGAACTGGTTGGGGGAGCTGTCCAGAGGGAGGGCTCGGTGCTGGGGGAGCATCTGGGAAGCAGTCAGAAGAGACAGGTATGAGAGTGGGCAAAGGGGAGGCGACAAGGGAGGGCAACCTGGGGCCAAGGCCAAGGTCTCCGAATAGTGCCCAGTTCCCTCTACCCTGAGCTCCCACTGAGGGAGACTGAGCCATCAGAGCTCTTCACAGTCCTGTGGGACAAATCCCCCTTCAAGGCAATTAATTCCAAGCAAGGACTCTTCAGCCTATTCATGTGGGCAGAGAGGTCTCTGGTGGGCATTCAGCCAGACAGACTGGAAGGAGCTGTACTCTGTCTTTCAAGGGAGAGAGAGCAGCTCTGTCCCACCCCAACCAGCCCTCAACCAGGCCTGTACCTCGGTAGGGATGTTGGGGACTGAGCCAGTAAAGCCATTCTCAGCGATGGTGCTGTGGGAGCTGTTGGGAGAGCTGGGGCCGGAGCCTGGTGCGCTGTTACACACGGACGACGCTATAGGAGAAGTGGCTGTCACCTGGGCCTGCTCTGAACTAGCCCCTGCCCCCCTGATTCCCAGACCCTCAGAACAGGTAACAGGAGAGCAACCCTTACCCCCAGGCCCAGCACCTGTGATCTCAACAGCTCTCTTCTTAAAGGTGCTAATAACAGTCCCATCCTTACGACGTAGGAGGGGACTGCTTCTTCGCTCTGCCACCTTCTGTTTTAGCCTTGAACGCACTTTCAAGTTGGGTTCAGAGGCTGGAGAGAAGGTAACCAAGGTTCAGATACATGCACAGAGCACACACCTGCAGCTGAGTCCACTGTGGTCAGGGCTGACCCTGCCACAAAGCCCACGCCTGCCTCCCAGGAGCCATATTCTGGGAGGCCAGGTTGGGGACTCACTCACCTGTCTTGCGGAGGGGGAAGTCGTCTCGACTGTCATAGGGCCCAGGCAAAGGCAGTTTGTAGGAGGGAGGCGTCCCAGGAGGGCCGCTCTGGGGAGGAGAACTCTGGTCCAAAGAAGCATGGTGGGCTCCCCTGGAGGTAGGGTTGGGGATAGAAGCAGATCGAGTTTACCACCCGGCCTGCTGGACCTGCCACCTGGCAATCTCCACTTATGAAAAATCCTTTGTATACAGGAAGAGGACATGGATCTTGGGGAAGGAATGAGGAAATAAACAGGGATGGGGGCATCCTATCTCCAAGGAGAGATTGCAGGGCCTGTATATGGGCACCGGGCATAAGCCCCTCGCCATCCTGTAGCCAGGCAGCCCCAAGCGGCTCACCTCTGCCCACCCATGCCTGCCCAGGGCCATTACCAGCATTTGGGGTGCTGTGGGAGGGAATGGTTGAGGCCGCCTGGTGTGGGCTCCTTTGACTTCGACAAGAGGAATTCCTGGAGCCTCAGCTTTACCTCAGTGCTGGCAATGGCACCTGTAGGACAGGGTACAACTGACCTGGCTGCTTGGGGCCAGACCCCCCCCAATGGCAGGGGCAGGTGTCACAGGTGGGGCCTCAGGAAGTCACAGGAGGCCACGCCTTACTCTCTTTGCTCTTCTCCTTGTTCCGCAGGATGAGCAGCTGCTGCTCCAGCCGCTGCTTCTCCAGCTCTTCCTGCCGCTGCTGCTCCCGCTGCCGTTGCTGCTCCAGCTCCTGCTGCCGCTTGGCTGCCAGCATCTCCTGCTGCTGTTTGGCTGCCAGCATCTCCTGCTGCTGCTGCAGGAGCATGGGGAGGGAGGCAGGAGTGAGCCAGGCCCGGGCGGGGGTCGGAGGTTGGGGCGGCCCCCCGCGCCCCCCTCGCTCACCTTGAGGTGCTTCTGCAGCTGGACCTCATGCTGCCTTGTCAGGTGGTCATGCTGTTTCTGGAACTCAGCGAACAGGAGCTGCTTCTGCAGCTGCTGCTGCTGCTTGAGCGCCAGGAGCTCCTGCTGCAGTTGCTGCTCCCGCAGTGTGGGGTCCACAGAGCCCACCAGAGCCCCCCGTAGCTCCACAGGGCTGGGGCTGCCTCCACCCCCACCCCCCATGGAGCTGGGCATGGCTCCTGGCAGCACCGGCTTCACCTCCACTGCGGGCAGAAGAGACAGGAGGGCGTTAGCGGACCCAGCCCCAGACTGCAGCCATGCCTGTGGCCCAAAGGCTACCGGATAGGATTCTAGGAGACCCAAAGAGAACAGAGACAGAGGGGAAGTCAAATCCCTCTGCTCCATGGATGCAACATTTTGCCTTAATTAAATGAGGCTGAAGCCATGAAATTCAATAGGAAAATATGGGCCGAGCGCGGTGGCTCACACCTGTAATTCCAGCACTTTGGGAGGCTGAGGCGGGCGGATCACTTGAGGCCAGGAGTTTGAGACCAGCCTGGCCAACATGGCCAAATATACAAAAATACAAAAATTAGCTGGGCGTGATGGTGCATGCCTATAATCCCAGCTACCCAGGTCGCTGAGGCAGGAGAATCTCTTATACCCTGGGAGGCAGAGGCTGCAGTGAGCCAAGATCTGCAGCTGCACTCCAGCCAGGGCAACAGAGCAAGTCTGTCTCAAACAAAAAGAAAATATGCATAAGCATGAAGCTGTACCTGATAGATTTTGAGTACTAAACACATTTTATATATATGTTTATGCTTGTGTATATGTGTGTGTGTGTGTGTATCTACCTACCTACGTATATATTAGAGACAAGGTCTTGCTGTGTCGCCCAGGCTGGAATGCAATGGCATGATTATGGCTCATGATAGCCTCGACCTCAAGCAACTCTCCAGCCTCAGCTTCCCAAGTAGCTGGGACTACAGGAGCACGCCAATGCACCAGCTAATTTTTAAATATTTAGTGGAGACAGGGTCTCACTATGTTGCCCAGGCTGGCCTTTAACCCCTAGGCTCAAATGATCCTCCCACCTCAGCCTCCCAAAGTGCTAGGATTATATATGTGAGCCACTGCCCAGCCTTCAACACACAATATTGTCATTGATAATCAACACATCTCTGGGCATTTTATAAGAATGATTCATTTAAATGTCACGGTTAGGTAGAACTTGGGTACTATCATCACGCCATTTTCCTGATGAGGAAACTGAGGTTTAGAGAAGTATAAATAGCAACCAAACGCAGCCAGGCAATCGAAGAACCAGAATGTGAGTGTAAATCCTAAGCTTTTAACCACTGTCCTGTGCCCCCTACCATTTCTCAACACCATGCTCCATGCAAAGCCTCGTACTAGAAGAGAAACTGAGGCACAGAAGTTGGTTCGAGAACTGATGGGGCCCTTGGTAACCCCAGGAGAGGTTGGTGGAGACCTTCTGGATATTCCTATTCTCTGTCCCATTCTGGGGCCTCATCCCTATCTGGGGCAGGAGGGAGAGGCTGTGGGAATGGGGGTGGGGTGGGAACAGAAGGCCTTGGGGAAAGGGGGTGCAGGGCTGCACCAAGCCCGGGACAGGAGGGGGCTGGGAGTCAGACTCGCTTCCTTTGCTGGATTATCTCCTTTCAACAGTTTTATTGTAATTACCCTGAAAATGCCGCTATATATAGAGTGAGCCAAACAGCAGCTGTGCCTGGGGGGAGGGGGAATGAGAGGATGGGCGGGCAGCAGGGAGGAGGTAGGAGGAGGAGACAGGAAAGGAAAGGGAATCAGACAGGAAGAAGGGTAAGGGCAGGGGGAGGGCGGGAGCTTCGGTAGAGATCTCAGAACTCTCGTCCTAGGGATAACCGTCTGGGGAGAAGGAGGCTGCCGGGGAGGGGAAGGCAGTGGAGGGAGGGCCTACTGGGTTCCCAGACCTTGGGTCCGGGCCCCACGTGGACAATGGCCGAGCAGCTCAGGGAGTGCATGAGGTTCCAATGGGCTTATGGGAAGGCTGGGTCTCCACCTTTTTATCCCTACACAAGGTCTTCTGGTCACTGCATGTCACTCCCCACCACTGCCCTGTGGTTGTGCCCTGTGGTTGTCAAGACAACTGGGCAAACACCACACCAGCAGGGAGCCCCAAGCCCAGCCCACGCCCCACAAAGCCTCCAGCCAGGAAGGGGAAGGCAGGATACCTCACTGCCTGGGAAGGCGGAAGTGAGAGAGGCAGGGCCAACCCATTCCTGTTTCTCTTCTACTTCTTTCTCCAAAGAAAGCCCTCACTCTCCTCGATGCAGCCCAGGGAGGTCACGAGGGGCTGAGAAGGCCCTCCAGTGGCAAAGTGGCCCACTCCGGCCCAGGGCTGGGCAGAAAGGACTCCAATATTCTTCTGGCTACCAGTACTTCTGCCCTCATGAGCTGGCCTCTCTGCAGGCCGGCCCCCAGCATTAAGAGGAGAGAGAGAAAAAAAAAAAAAGTTGTTTTTTTTTTTCTGAGAGTCTTACTGCAACCTCCACCGCCTGGGTTCAAGCTATTCTCCTGCCTGAGACTCCCAAGTGGCTGGGATTATACCACACCCAGCTAATTTTTGTATTTTTAGTAGAAACGGGGTTTCACCATGTTGGTCAGGCTGGTCTTGAACTCCTGACCATAGGTGATCCACATGCCTCGGCCTCCCAAAGCGCTGGGATTATAGCCCATCACACCGGCCGAAAAATTTTCAGAGAAGAGAGAAAGGTGGGAGGTGGGAGGTGGGAGGTGGCAAAGGGTGGGCTAAGAGAGGCCCCTATACCTGTGTAGATGGACCTGGATCTCTCCAGAGAACCTAGCACTGAATAAGTGTCACCAAGGCAGAAGCAAGACCTGCTGGAAGCCAAGGCCATGCCACCGGAACGCCTGGAGTATGGCCTCTGGAACCCCCTGCAGGCAGGGTGGGGTGGGAGACGGTAAAGGCTAAAGCACGATGTCGATGTCGCAGTCCCCACCAGCCAGCCTCTTCTCCCCCAAGCATAATTGGGAACATTCCTCTGTGGTTTGCCCGCCAGCCGTACTGACGACTCTGTGGCCACAAGGCCAGAGCCACATGTGCAGAAGTGGCCAGATGTGGCCAGAGGGTGGGGTTACACATACTCACTCACCCTCCTTCCCAACCCATGTCCTGCCCCAGCACCAGGAAGAAGGGTCCTTGGAAACTGCAGAAGGCCTTCCTGGAGGTAGCCAGCCATGGTCCACGATGGTAGCAAGGAAATGTCAGCCAGCTCAGGACTCCCCAGCCTGTGACGTGCTCGGCAAGGCCCTGAGCTGGCCAGACGGTTATCTGTTCTTAGGCAAGGCTGGCTTGGCCCGTGGAATTCTGATCACTAAGCCAAGCGGTGGACGGGCTTCAACCTGCTGCTCCCGGCAATGGCGGGGTTGCAGGAGCCGGATGCCAGCCAGCCCGCCCGCCCAGGGAAGGGCAGGGGTCCAAGCACTCCCAGCTCCCAGCAGATAGCCCTGCCTCAGGCTGAAACTGCTGCCAGCAGTACTGGCTTCCCTTGCAGGAGCCCTGCAGAGAGCACATGGGCTCAGGAAGGGGAATCTCCCACCAGACTGTCACTGCCACTGCAGCCGCAGCGATGTCAGGCCCGGAGCTACAGTGGGAGCCACAGCCCTATTGGTATGCAGGTGGCAGGGTGGGCAGAGGGCTCTGCCATGCAGCCTCGTTCTTATGCGAACTGGAAGCACAGGCGACTCCAGAATATTAATTTTCAGGGCCTGGGTGGCATGCAGCACCCCGGGGGTTTGCCAGGTGGCAACCTGCTCCACCCAAAGTGGAAGGGGCCATGGCTGCTCGGCCTAAGTCAGGGAAAAGAGGGGCATGGAGCCCCATGAGTAGATCTGCCAGGCACACAGACCCTGGAGCCTGGCTAGGCTTACACTCTCTCAATCATCTGTGTCCTCTGCCAGCCTGGCATGAGCAGAGCAGGTGGCAGCAGCTGCCATCAGCACCAAGCACCCGGAAGGGGAACTGGGTGTGTCATGATAGGAAGAGGCTCTTGGCCGCCTCCTGGTGGACCAAAGGTGGCTGGAGACCCCCTGGGAAAAGAAGAGGGTAGATGGGCCGGGCATGTTGGCTCATGCCTATAATCCCAGCAATTTGGGAGGCTGAGGCAGGAGGATCACCTGAGGTCAGGAGTTCAAGACCAGCTTGGCCAAGAAGGCAAAACCCCATCTCTACTAAAAAATATAAAAATTGGCCCAGCGAGGTGGCTCAACGCCTATAATCCCAGCAGTTTGGGAGGCCAAGGCGGGTGGATTACTAGGTCAGGAGATCAAGACCAGCCTGGCCAACATAGTAAAACTCCATCTCTACTAAAAATACAAAAATTATCTGGGCATGGAGGCAGGAGACTCGTTTGAACCCGGGAGGCAGAGGTTGCAGTGATCTGAGATTGAGCCACTGTACTCCAGCCGCCACTGCACTCCATCCTGGTGACAGAGCAAGACTCCATCTCAAAAAAAAAAAAAGCCAGGTGTGGTATCGAGCACTTGTAATCACTAAAAAATACAAAAATTAGCTGGGCATGGCAGCGGATGCTTGCAATCTCAGCTACTCAGGAGGCTGAGGCAGGGAGAATTGCTTGAACCTGGGAGGTGAAGGTTGCAGTAAGCCTAGATCATGCCACTGCACTCTAGCCTGGGTGACAGAGCGAGACTCCATCTCAAGAAAAAAAAAAAAGAGGGCAGACAAAGGGACACTGTTTCCTAAGAGGATAGGTCAGGAGCTCTAGCTAGCAAAGAGCCCCACTGAAAGGCCAGGGAGGGCCAGGCGCGGTGGCTCACGCCTGTAATCCCAGTACTTTGGGAGGCTGAGGCTGGCGGATCGCCTGAGGTTGGGAGTTCGAGACCAGCCTGACCAACATGGAGAAACCCCATCTCTAATAAAAATACAAAATTAGCCAGGCATGGGGGTACATGCCTGTAATCCCAGCTACTTGGGAGGCTGAGGCAGAAGAATCGCTTAAACCTGAGAGGCAGAGGTTGCACTGAGCCGAGATCATACCATTGCATTCCAGCCTGGGCAACAAGAGTGAAACCCCGTCTAAAAAAAAAAAAAAAAATGCCAGGGAAAGGTCACAGAGGAGGACAAGGCCCTGGGTCCTTCCCTCACCCCCCAGGGCCTCACTCTGATGAGAATCAAGAGGCCAGGTGCCTAACAGAGCCACCTCCTGCAGGGGTTGGAGGC